ATATATAAATAATTTGATTGAAAATATACGTGAAATTGTTGTATTTTTCCTATATAATGTGACATGAAAATCTAGAGATGAATCTCTGCCGGAAAAATAAGAATACAGGGGCAAGTTTACTTAACATTGAGTATATTAACTTAACTGCTTAACATATCACTAAATTAGGAAGATATCAACAAGCTGGCGACGGTTTTTGCCACTTATTTTTTTCTTTTTCGCCAACTTTGGCGAGGTATCGACAAAAGTCACCAAAATTGGCGACCATTTTGAGATATATGGGTCTAATCCCATATAACTGTAATTTTAGGTACTGCAATAAAATATTTGTAATTGATACTCTGTGTAATTGTAACCATATCCGGCCCTTATATGCCTTCCAATAATTTCTAGAAGTACTAGAGATTTCTCAGCGGCCTGGGGAAAAACTAAGACCGGGCAGAGTATCAAGTGAGTAGTTGGAGTTGTTAGTTCAGAGCGACTTCGGAGTATTGAGATATCCGTGAGAATTTCAGCTTTTAGATGTGCTTTGCAGTGCATTGTGTTTAACGTTCTTATTTGAAGTGTAACACTGATTGCAATCTGTGATACCATGAAGAGCTGTAAGAATATTTTTGTGAATATTATTTCCAGAAATATAAAATGTTCCTTTTGGTAAAATAAATTTTATCAAGCTATCAACAATTCAGTGTGCGCTCAATCTCTTACGAACCCTTAAGTACGTTACAATACTGATGTTAACTCGTTGACTCAAAAAGCAAATTTTGAAATAAAAAATATGAATGTAAAATTTAACTCAGAGAAATTTTTTTTCCACCTGCTCAGTCATCTTTTTCAGATAGTTTTCAGTTACTCTTCGTTTCGAAAACATTACTTGTAAAGGTAAACATTAATGAACTATGTGCGTCTGCAGTGGCTTAAAATCGAAATGTCAATTTATTTTCATTTTCTTACATACTTGTGCACATATTTCAGAATAATCTTTTTTCCATGTTTCTAATATTTTTTATGATAATGTCTACCGAGGTTACAATAATTGTTTTAGTAGTTCAGAATAGGGAAAAATAAAACCCAAAACATTTTAAGTAAAATGTACTATCGAAGTACGTTTTTTCTGTGCTTCTTTCTACTAAATAAGAAAGTAAGCAATTTAATAATTACGTTAATTTAATGTTTTGGAATACCGTCAGCTATAGCTACACTTCTACGTCACACACACTTTTTTCTCCCCGCTCTTCTTTCTACATCGTCATTTTTTTCTCTTCGCTTTCCCGAATCATATTAATCAAGATGTCGATGTCACTGCTAAAGTTAGGAATAACAGCTAAGGTAAATAAATAATAAATAAACAAGTTGGCAACTCATGCCTTAAAATTCAGTCATCTCATAATATCTTACATCAAACATCAAAACAGATGACAGAATGCAAATCATAAAATTAGATAAGGAATCTAATATCCTATAGATTATATTATTGGAAACTTAAAATTCACAGCTCTAAATGTATAAAAATAACATCTTACCTGTCTTCCAAAATAAAATTTTAAAATTTAGAATTCTATTTCAAATTGCTTTACAAATCACTGTTATCTTCAGCTTCAAACCAAAGAATAACTAAATTAAACATTTTTTTCAAATGTTTCAGATACTGAGTTAGTATTTTTGGGTGTTAACAGCTCGTATAAACTTTGTGAATAAACATGCCAGAAAATCAAAAATAAATAAATAAATAAATAAATAAATAAATAAAATAAACAAAAATTTGCAATCTTTTTTTACAACTCCAAGCGGTAACAAATTTTACAGGTGAAGATATCCGGAGCAAATCATTTGGATGTTTTAATAAATTTATATCCCAAATATAAATAGTACAGCCAATATACTATATAAACAATTGACAACTAACTTTTAACACTATAAACGGGAACGTTGGTGAGCTGATTGCATTCACAGGACATACAGTCGCGTTTTTTAATGTAAGATTATGCAGAAATCAAGTCTGTTGACGCTGATTTTATAGAAATCCATCTCGAGAGAGGCATATACTGTACCTCTTTTTTTTCAAGGGAAAAGGTATGTTGCAATAATTATCTAATGCATTTAATTAAACAAAACTGCAAATTAGAATGTATTTAATTTAAGAAATGCATGTTTCTCATTAGCCAAGTATTTAATTATTACACTATATTATTTTCAAGCAATATTTGTATGAAAAGAAAACAAAAAAAGAACTTTTTGAATTTTTCAGTAAACTTTGTCAAGGATAGTTTATCTTAGATTTTAACACTTTCTTTTCCGTTGGCTCAAAAGAAACTGTTTAGGATGTTGATTTTTGCTAATGTTTTAGTGAAAAAAAGGTTTGAAAATGTGGATTTTTTTATTATTATTAAAGATCTAGTTTAAAAGCGCTAAAATATTTTGGAGCCAACCTTCAAAAACTTCATTTTTCTCATACCGAAACTGAAGAAATAATTTGCTTACAAAAATTTCTAAGACATATTCACTTCTTTTTCAAATAGTTACTATTGTAAAATCGAAGGATTAGGTCTGGAATCTTTCCGAGTCCATTTGCTTATCAGTGTTGTTTCACCTAAGTCGGCTGAACTAATAAGGAAGCATTAAAATTTTGAAATAAAGAATACGAATCTCAGATAAATAAACATCTCAGAGCTAATCATGGTTGCTAATTAATCGTTCTTTTGGCTCGAGTTTTGTGAAAAATCATATGTAAGGCTTTGGCTGGTAAATTAAATGTTTTTTGAAGCTTTTCCGATTTGTCAAACTGTGTCAGTGTTAATTAATAGTTTTAATATCAATCTAGTCTCTCTCCCTCTTTTTAAAGCTTTAAAAAGCGTTCTCTTCTTCATATTGAATATTACTTGGATTTTTAAATTTTTTCGATAGACGGTGGTACGTACTTTGCTTCCCGTATTTTTTATTAATTTATGTGTCACAATTTGCATACTTAATGAATAATTTGGATTGTACCTAACACTTTTTTCCATAGAAAGTTACTTTGAGGGCGATTTTGCCGCACATGCTATGTGTTAATGACGTAAGCCCCACGTTCGGCAAGGGGTTTGTTGCATATGGCAAAGATTGACGTTCCGCATCGGTCTCTTGAAATCGAGAGAAAATGTTTTTTTAAACTGCTAGTTTTGACTAGTAATTTTTTATTAATGTCCTTCTTTTCGTACACATTTTAACTGAATTATGCATATGTTTTATTTTCCCCATACATTTCGAAAGACATGCATTATTTTCAATCAACATATAAATCATGGCTTAATACTCTCTGTAGTAGAAAATGAAAGAATCTAGAAATACTATTTATCATCCACACAAACTGGAAAATGTTACCGCGATTCGAAGTATGAGACTAATATACACTGCTCGACATTGAAAATGCAACACCAAGAAGGAATGGTCAGAAATTTATGAAAATTTTAGCTTAGACGCACGTCACTAAATTTTGCGAATGATGTGAAATGCGCAGCTCTCCGACGCACGTGAAGTAAGATATAAGGGAAGGAACGCGCAGAATGGGCAATATTCGTGTCGTTATTTCTGCCAGACGAATTATCGAAGAAAGTTGGCTTTTGTCCCGGAGAATACGTGTAATAGGTGACAGGTGACGGAGGACGGGGACGCCTGGTGTTTAACGGAGGTAAACAGGCATATATCCCACGCCCTCCCCTATCTAGATACAACAACTCCCTGGGGTCCCACAAGGACCCTCCCTTTTTAGGAATTAAAATTATCTTCTTTGATTTTGATTCCGAAATGGATAGCTTCAATTTGGTACAATGGGTATAAAATAGGTCACATGTTTCAGTAGAATTTTTTTCAAGTTCTTCTCAAGTGCGTCCGGTAACAACGAATGCTGTATCGTCAGCATAAGAATATACTGGGTATGTGCGGTTCAGGGAGCATTTAAGATGGAATTAAAAGTTAAATTCCAAAGATCTGGCCCCGCACAGGAACCCTGTGGGCAGCCTCTATTTTGTGGTTTATGAACAATTCCTGTTGATGTAGCATAGATGAGTTCTCGCTCAAATAAGTAACTTTGTAGAATCAAGAATATATTTTTAGGGCATTGGGCAGCTCTTAATGCTTCAAGAATGGCTGGCCACCACAGTGTATCGAAGGCTTGTTGGAGATCAATAGAGATCAACGCACTGTGGTGACCATGATTACGATTATAATATATATTTTCTATTATTTTGGAAAGAATTTGAAGAGTTGACTTTCCGGAACGGAAGCCGTATTGGTTGTCATTTAAGATATGATTACTTTGGAAATGATATTTGAGGCGTTGCATTATGAGGCGTTCAAATATTTTGCCTATTGAAGATAGCAAACAGATAGGCCGAAAAGAAGATGGCAATTGTGGATCTTTATCTTTTTTAAGGAAGAGTACTACTCTTCCAACTTTAAAAGCTCTTGGAAATATGCCATGATGTAGTAATTTATTGAAGTAGTCGCAAAAGAAAAATAATTGTGAGAGTATAGCGACTTTTACTATCTGGTAATCTAGCCCATCAGGGTCAGGTGCCCGTTTCTTTGGAAGATTAGATAAAATGGTTTTGATTTCATGAATTGTAATATCCAAATCATTAGTTGTATTTGGAATTGATTGATCGTCACGTATAGCTGCTTGTAAAGTAGTGTCGGAAGTAGGGTCATCATCAGGAAATACTGCTTCCAGTATGGTATGTATAGCAGCATCAGTAGGGCTAAAATTATCGGCTGTATCCATAACATGAAGAGGTGTTGGTTGAAATAATTTCTCTCTAGTAATCTTATAATGAATACCATAAATTTCGGTATTTAAGCTGCAATATTCTTTCGAAGCCATAATTTTTGATGTTATTATTAGGCGTTTATATTGAGCTCTCTCCCTTTTGTAGATCTGCAAGGTATTAGAGGATAAGTTTAGACGTCTCTCTGTTTTCAGACGGCGACGAAGTGCACGACACGTTTTCTGCTGGGAACGTAAATTAGGTGTCCACCAGTGGATTGAGTGAAGTTTCCTTAGAATTCCTTGTTGGCAGTGTATTTTGGCAAATATCCTGCAGAGTTGTAAGTAGTGAGTTTGTGAAAATCTCTGTCTCCTCTGAAGTATTCACGGTATGTAGTTGTCTACGCGGGGGACGAAGCGCAGTCCGAACCTTACGACTGAATTGTTTTATTTTGCAGCCAGGGAGATTATATCTAACCAGAATAGGTATATCACTATTGGGCATAAGATCAAAAGTAATATACTTATGATCAGATAAAGATTCATCCTCCCGAACTGTCCAATTTTGTAGAAGAGATACTAAGGAAATTGTAGTAAACGTTAGATCTGGCCAGCCTTTTGCGTGAATACGATCAAATGTTGGATGAGAATCTGGTGTATTAAAAAGAATGAAGTTATTGGAAGCCATATAATCTTCGAGAAGACGTCCTTTTGGATCTGTATCTCCATAGCCCCAGGCCACTGAATGAGCATTAAAGTCACCACATATTAACATATGCTTATTGCCAAGTGCTGTTGATAGATGATCCAAAAAATTAATAGCAGTGGAAAGATCCTCCGTGGGACTTGAATATATGGAAGTTATTGCAACAGTAAAGTTGTTTAGTTCCAACAGTATGGCAACTTGATCTCTATTGAGTTGGAGGATTGAGGGTGAAAGTTGTTGGTTACATAAAATAATAGCTGCTCGAGGAAAGTTAGTAGGATCTTCATTATAAAATATTTTCCATAAAAGTGGATAACCAGTAATCTTGCCATTACGAACATAGGGTTCCTGAGCTATTATAATATCAATATTATTATCAAATGCAAAAGCAATGACTTTGGTAGTAGCAGCCTGTGCTTTTTGGAGATTTATTTGTAAGCATTTAAGGATATGGTGAAAGAGGCTGGGAGGTGGAGTGGATAGGACCTTTACTGATATGTCGTGGTTCGGCGGATGCGTTCAACTTGTGCCTGATAGCAAGGGCATTCATTTGAGAAGGCTGCGTGTTCAATTGATAGCATGGTTCTGGCACTGTTGTTTCTGTCAATGCAGTTGATACAGTTATAGAAGTTGGCGGTGCAGTCACGGGTATCATGATTTCCGGCGCAGTTTGCACAATAGGAATAGCTTCTACAGTCTTTTTGTAAATGCCCGAAACGTTGACATTTGAAGCAACGTTTAATATTGAGGTGCTCTGTAACTGAGATGGGTTTGCCATCCCATATAGAGTTTGGGACTGCGCATGAAGATGTTGAAGGCATTAGGCTGGCATTCTGCCACCCATTTGACATTTTCCCGTTGTTTTAAACAGAATAGTAATCTAACTTCACCTAGCTCAAAGCCAAATTCAGAAAGGATTAAATCTTGTAGATCTTCCTGTTGTACGTTAGGTGAAATGTTGTGAAAAGCAACGAGTGCATTTTTTGTTGCTGGTTGTTTAACCTCTACTAAGTTTGTCGCTTTCTCAGTTGTCAAGGTATTAACTATCTTCTGACGATCAGCTTCAGACTCACAAACAACTGCTAGGCCCCCTCGTTGGATTGGCCTAATCGTAGTAACTTGTGCTCCAATACTTGGTAATGGGAATTCCTTAGCTAACTTTTCCTTGAGTTTACGGCTAGTAGTTTGCTCTTTTGGATAAATAAGAAGAGTAGGTTTAGGAGCTGGAGCTGGAGCTGGATGAGAATGCGGGAACTGTAAAGCCGCTGCGTATGAAAGACCTGCCACAGGAAGTGGAGGAGATATTAAACTACGATCCTCAGAAGAGTGCAGAGGAGTATCTACAGTCGTAGTTTTATGAATTAAATCACAACAAACAAGTTTGGAGGTATTCACTCCTACTTCTGTAGCTGCAGGTGGGGGAACAGAATTAGGACCTTCCAAAGCTAATTGCTTGAATGCTTCTAGTGTTTTTAGTAAAGGTTCCCTTAGATTAGCAGGAAGAATGCTTTTGCCACCTCGAAACGTAGTAGAGATAGTACGTATGTTTTCGTACAGAACATCCCGCCGACAAGTTGTGGCGGTCCCGCAAGTCACTTTACCGCGATTCTGCAGCATGTGCAGGATACCCTGGCTGTTCCCGTGTCGACCAGAACCATTTTCCGTCGATTGATTGAACGTGGCCTGCACTCACGTCGTCGGTTAAGAAGACTGCCATTGACCCCACAGTATAGACGCCTACGTTTAGAACGGTGCCGGACTGGAGCGATCGGGATGACAGAATGGTGAAACATCGTGTTCTCAGATGAGTCACACTTCTGTTTATCCAGTGACAGTGGCCGCATACGTGTGTAGCGTCGACGTGGAGACAGGTCCAATTTGGCACTAACTGTGGAACGCCCTACCGCGCGACAACGTGGCATAATGGTTTGAGGTGCTATTGCCTACGATTCCAGGTCAACTCTAGTTCGTATTCAGCGCACTATGACGGCCCAACGATACTTGGATAATGTACTGCGCCTGGTAGTAATTCCCTACTTTCAGGGGCTGCCTAATGCAATTTTCAGCAGGATAACGCCCAACCACACAGTGCTCGCATCTGCCAACATGCTCTGCAAAGTATACAGATGCTTCCCTGGCCACCGTACTCTCCTGACCTGTCACCAATCGAGCATGTGTGACATGTGATTGGACGCCGTTTACAGACTCGGCCCCTGCCTCGTTTTGAAGACGAACTGTGGCAAATGGTTGAAAGGGAATGGAGAGTTATCCCTCAGGACACCATCCGCACTCTTACTGACTGTGTGCCTAGACGTGTTTCTTCGTGCATCGCTGTCCGCGGTGGTCCTACATCCTACTGAGGCGACGCCGTTCTCGCTCTGTGTTCTGACTATCATTTTGAAAAAAAGATCACTTATTGCTGCTTGCTGACTCTGTCTTTTTCCAAATTTAATCATTTTTTGACCACTTGGTATTGCATTTTCAATGTCGAGCAGTGTATCTTCCACTCCGTCCTTAGGAATAGCTGATTCTCAGTAAGTTGCGATTCGGCAAATCATATGATATTTAATTCATCTTCCGAATTAAATTACTTAATTGCCCAAAGTGAGAGATTTCATTGCGATAAATATTTTCTTAATTTTTTTGAAGTTTTATTTTTTTAATAATGTATCTAACTGATGGAAATTAAAATTCGTTTAGTACATACTGGGAATTTGTATCAGCATGCGCATCTTTGCAATTAATTGAAATGCGTTTTCAATGCCACGTATTACGTAACTGCTACAATATCATTATTTTTTTAATTGAAATGATGTTTCACACTTCTTAATGCTTTTAGTATTTTTTTAATTAATTAATTAATTTTTTTAATTAATTAATTAATTTTAATTTTTATATCTTCTTCTTCATGATATTAGAATGTTTTCACATTTCAGGACTTTTTATTTGTTTAGTGACTTACACATTATCAAACTGCAAAAACATTTTTTTTAACCTATCTTTAAATTAAAAAAAATCACAACTGATAAATTAAAGGGAAAGAATATAGCTCACACTTTGTTCCATAGAATATATCAATTAAAAATACATTAGATTTTATGTTCTATTATTACGCAACATTAAAATACCATTCATTAACTACCATTTTATTTTATATTCCTCCCGTCTGATTACAATAATGAAATTATAAAACTGGATTTAAAGCATCAAAATCCTTTGTCTACAAACAGTACAAACTACGAAATTAAAAGCAAAATCTTTTCTAATAGCTGATGCTGCCATCTATTAGCAGAATTGAGAATTATGTTCGTAGTACTAATACAACATGTTAGTCAACTAACGTTTTTGTCATGTATTTATGTGATAATTTTAAAAAGAAGGCATATAAGTTTTAATTATTTAAATTTATCTAATTAATGTTCACATGAGAGTTCATATGGTAATCAAATTGGCCTTGTGATGAAATAACTGACCTGATGTTGGATGGTAATCAAATTTCCCAAAACCAGATAAGAGATCAACTGTGTTCTGTTATCCCATCATTACACTATTCAAAAGAATTCTATAATTCCTTTAACATTTTTTTCCCTGCCTCCTTTTTTGGAGGAATTGAAAAGCATGTTATACCTTTTATTGTTGAATCTATTTTATATTGAAACGATCTTTAAAAGCGGGAGTTTATTTTGTTATCAAAAGTTTTTGAACATTAGAAATACTATAACCTAGAATTTATACCTTTTGCTTATAACTAAGGAGATTACTATCCATCGTTTAATTTAATAATACGATGAGTTCTGCAAGACATTGCCATTCAGTGTGGTATGATATACGATTATTGTTCCATTATTTCCTGGTTCCGATTATTATTAATGATATTAATTTTAGTTAGTGTAAATTATAACACTGCGGTACTTGTAATAAGTTTAAAATTATATATAATGCTTTTATTATAGCTTATGAAAGACGTTTCTAATGCCCACTTATTCTATATGCCTCTCCTATAGAATGTTAGGTTTGTTCTTTATGCTTACGTTACTTCTGTAGTAAAATATGTTAATGGTTATGTTACTCCTGTAGTAAAATGTTTAAATTTATAATTCTTCACTAAGCCAAATTTTATTATTGTCATTTTATTGGTAAATAATACGGGCTTAATTATTACTTAGAGCAAAAAAACTCGCGCATTTTGAATGATATTTAAATCTGATAACGGGGAAAAAATGCTTTTGTACACCTCCTTCAATTAATTTCTGATTTTACTTAGTACTTTTTTCCTCATAAATGACAACAAGAATTTCATAACCCCCCCAAAAAAACGGGGGGTTACGTTGTAGTTGCAGCTTTTATGAATTTAGTTTCCAACATTCTCCATAAACGGCAGCAGCAATATTATGGTTATAAATTACAGCTTCAGACATTTTAAAAAACTTGGAAATTGCAGATTGAAAAAAAAATGACAAATTGCATATTTACATAGTGTTCTTTTAAATAATGATTTGATAATGCTCTTTTATTTGATAGTGATAGAAAATATGTTGATTAGAATTAACGCAATATTTTTCTCTTGACGTTTTACCTTTTTTTTTTAAAATATAAGTATAAGATGTAATTTAAGTATAAGTACCATTTAAGTATAAGATGCTGACTCATGGTTTGGTTAATAAAAATTGAAAATTTGTAACGTAACGGTAAATGGGCGAAAAGCGTAAATTACATTAACTGAAACCTGAAAATGACAGTTTTTATATGTTAAACAATGGTATTAAATTTAAATTTTCCTTTTATACAGGCCTCCTTTGCATTTGATTTCAATCATTATCCTTATTATTAGTAGTATTTGGTTTGGTTTATTTTAATTATGGCAAAGCTCACTATGGCTATCTGCCTAAGAGGAGGGATGCCTTCGTGGCGATTTCAAAGCGATCAATGGCAACGTTGTACAGAAAAAACATTTTTATCTCCAGCGCGCGAGCTTCTGTATAAAAATTCTAAAGATATGCTCATTTTAAAACTGTTTTGCGATATTGCTGTTGAACTGAATTTTATGGTTTAAGTGCGAAGAACGTGATATTGAATAAATAAAAGTAACACACAAAATGGGAAAAAAAAAAAAAAAAAAAAAAAAAACATGCTTCTTTGGGCATAATTTAAAATCTGGAACCTTTCAGATTTTTTTTAATTGAAGAATTCGATGGTAAAGGATAAAGTAATCATTCTGTAACGATCCATATAAATAGATATAAATATAATGTGATAATTATTAGGATATATGAAAACAAACTATTCAAGCAATAACAGCCCGATTGTGGCTTAAAGGAAAGTACCGACCGAGTAACAAGCTGAAAACAACGCTCCAAGTGTTATACTAATCAAATATCCGATTAAAAAGTTCGAGAGAATTGGTAACGTTTGTGATAAAAGTGTTGACAATGTTGGTCGTCGAGCAAGTATGGAAACGGTTGAAAATATCGGGAAAACATGAACTGTGTTTCAAAACAGCCCAAAGGACATCGATCAAACGAGCTTCACGACAAGATGGAATCAACCGGGAGACTTTGCAACAAATTGTTGTTCAAGATCTGCAGCTCGTTCCGTACAAAATGCCCACTGAACACCACTTCCCATTGAAATAGCGTTTGTGTTTCGCCAACACTATTGTCGCTATGACTGACAAACAATAACTTAATGCGAATATGGTTTGGTTTAGAGACGAAGTTTAGTTTCATTTGGATGGGTATGTCAATAAGCAGAATTGCTGCATTTAGGGGAATGAAAATCCCGATTTCGCGATCGAGAAGTCTCTATACACCAAACGGGTTGGTGTGCAGAGTCAAGTCTCATAATAATTGATGTGATATTCAGCGCAAGCACTGTGACTGCTGAATGTTAAAGCAAAATTTTAGGAAATGATGTCATCTCTCTTATCAAAAGTGACCCAAGTTTAAAAAAGATGCGATTCATGAAGGATGAAACACGACCCATCCCACTGGACCGAGTGTTTGAAGTCCTGGAAGAACACTTTGGAAAGCGTATTTCTAGCTTTGAGCTACCCAGAGGCTACTGAAATGGAAAATGCTTGGCAGCCATATTCTCTTGGTCTCAAACCTTGTCACTCCTTTCGTGGGGCATTAAGTTTATTTCAAATAATCTCGAAAGCCCCGTTAAACTCAAAACAGCAGTTCAGGTGGTCAAATTCCTTTTCTCTCTCTACCTATGCAATGAAATCTGGCAAAATCTGAAACAGTACTGAAAAATATTAGCAAAGGAGCTAAGCAATAATATCATAGCATGTAGGATAAAACTAGACGGGTTGAGCGTACTGAATATTGAAGAATTTTCCTATGAATTTTTAGTTCGGTTTTTGGTTGACTTGATTATGACAAAGCACGTCAGGGCTAGTTGCCTAAGAGATGTCTTCATGGAGAACTTTCTAAAGGTAGCTGGCTCACCGAACACGAAATTTCCCATTTTATGATAATACAATGTATGCTTTGTAATTTAGAATAATAAAAACAATTGTATTCTTTAAAGACAGCAAGATTATTAAGATATTATTTGCTGTAAGGAATGTGGTTTGCGTGCTATAATTTTATTCTAGATGGGAAACGAATATTAATTTTTCGTGAAAAATATTTATTTGATAAGTATTTGTAACAATATTATATTAAGAAAAAGACGGTTCCAGAGCTTATGTTATTACGTATCGAGCTTACAGCCTTTTTAATCCTGACACTTATCAATTACATTTTTTAAGGATTTTATATTTGTAAAACAATAAAGCAAAAGTTGTAACATAGACTAACAAGGGAGACAAGTGTGTTGTGAAATCATGCTTATCTAGGACTTATTTTCAGGTTTTTATAGAAGTTCCGGGTCAACGATCTCTTTAATAAGTTTAAAAATTTAAAAAAAGTAACCTGGAGTAAGAGCTTTTGCACAATCATCATCTGCGATAATAGTGTGATCAACCTATAATTTAATGTACCTTTTATCACAAATGTCAATATATATTATTTGAACCTGAGTCCAACTACAGCAGTGTTCAATGATTTCTACGCTTGGCGGTTTCTGGCGTATCTCTAAAAGAGAAAGGGGAGCACAAAGCATTAAGATGTTTTAGACATGCGTAAGTTTCGATAGCTCTGTAAGCCAGTATTTGATGTGTTAACAGGACTAATGATAAAATGTGTTAATGAAAGTAAATTGCGAAATATTAGTATAACTATAATATACTATAACAGGAGGGGGGGACTTTGAAAATTCGAAGATTCGCGTTTTTTCCATCATTCCGAATACCAACCTAAAATTCTATTAAACGTGTTAACTGAAAATTTGAAATGATCAATTTCATTGATATTCTGTAGAAGCATTTATTGTATATTAAGAAAGCTACTGCTGTAATTTCAGCTTAGGCAACCAATATTATTTCGCGGTATTTCCAAATGCCCCTATCTTTAATTTTTTGAAGAAAAATAACATTCCATATTTAGTATTTATCTGTGTGTTAATGGTTTAAATAATCGGTATTTTCCGATTATCCGCAACCGCCCTCTTGAAAAGTCGCCAAGTGTTGGCAATGAGTTTTTCACGAAGCTAAGACGCGAGAGGCAACAGCCACTTTCAAAAATGGCCGCGAAATAAGAATTACATAAACAGCAACTAATTAGCAAGATTAAAAGCGCAAGAAGCATTCTACTACTTAAATTTTACTACTAAATTTTACTACTAGCATTCTACTACTAGCTAAAGTACTTAATTTTTTTCCCCTTTTCATACGATGTACACAGGGATCTGTCGTAGCTTCTAAAACATCAGAGAATTTACAAACTCGGCATCACGTAAAATTGCCACTGCGCACACTTTCGTCTCCTCATGCACATGATGATCTGTTTTTGCTTAAAAAACATGACATAATTGCAAAAATTCGGCATTGCAAAAATTATTATTCTTTTTTGGGGAAAAATAGCTTTCAGTCAAAATTAAAATGATAAATAAATAATGGATTCGTCTGTTATCGCTTTTTTGCTGTTCTTTTATTGTTAACAATGAAATCTGGGCAAAAATTGATCAAAATAAATTCACCAATTTCCAACAACAACGCCAACATTGTTGAATTCAAATGTGTCAAAGATATCTTTGTTGCAATTTTCTAAATTTTAAAGAGAAGAAACATTTATATTACTTGCCCAAATTAAATTCAGCCAGATCGAAATTCACCTCAAGCAAGAAATGGTTTTAAAACATAAATCTAAGTTTTCTGTAAAATGTTCGATACCTAAATTCTAGTTAGATAGTTAACTTCAGTAAATAGAACTCCAGAGTTACATTTTGATGTCTTAACATCAAATTAAACAAACAGCTTGAAAATAAGAAGAAAGGAAGATGTCAAACATACATTTCGGAGAGACAAACGGTTATACTAATTATTCCGCTCATAGTGACTCCATGCTTTCTTCGAATATTCTAGAAGATTTTTCACATGAAAATAACATAGCGAAACGAACCTCTTCGGAAGATTTATTACAGTATGGTTTTCGGATCGGCCGATTAATAGGCGAAGGTTCTTACTGTAAAGTAAGGTAAATATTTACGCTGTTTTTTAATTATCTAAGTCAAACAATATTAATTTGTTAAAAATGTTAACATTTACAGTCAGAATTAAGGTGTTATTATCAAATTGAAAAGTGCTACAAAACGAATCCTCATAAACTTAGAAACACAGTACATGTTACGCACAAATTGCAGTTTCTATAGCAGAGCATTAATGTTCAATATATTTCTCTATGTCGTGATTTTATTACATGATTAACGTTTTAGTAACTTTTGTACTTCCAGTTGCTAATCTTAAGGTAAAAATGTAAAACAAGATTCATTGCCATCAAAAGGTTAATCATTTTAGTAATTTTTAAGTTAATAATGTTAGAATGAATATATTACATGCCTCTTCTTAACTTAACGAGTTCGTTTCATTCACATCATTTATGGAAAAAAACAGAGAACAATTTTGCTTATGTTAATTTCTTCGTATGTGTATTCATTTCTTTAGCAATACTCTGTGTTTATTTTCACGTTTTCCCTTTATTACAAGCCCACCAGCGGCTAAGCGGTAAAGTCGCTGAACACTGTTAGTTCGGTCCGAGGTTCGAATCCCGCGAACGGGCTGGCTGCATGGGCGTTTTCGTGGTTTTCCCCATGTGTAACGTGTATACGAACCAGTTCCCTTAGAAAGTCCTCCACTAAGGCATCCCTGCCCTTAGGCAGAGAGCTCTAGTGTGCTTTGCCATAATTAAATACACCACCACACCACACCTTTTATTATAATGTATTAATTTTTCCTGTCTTTTTATATCACTTCCTGAATTCATCGTATCAATGTTCATTTATCTCAACACGAAGGTCTTTAAATTATTTTGGGAGTATTCACGTATTATCATAACCACTTTCGTAGAAATCGCTAAATTTTTGGAATGTGCCAAACTCTGGCAACCAGGAGCATAAAAAGTTTTCAGGCAACCATGCTCATAACAGTCCTTCTGTCAAGCAACTTCGCTATTTTCGCATGCGTTCTTTTTGATGAATTCCAAAGCTTATAAACAAATCGTGATATTTTATGCCTTAATTTTAAAATATACGCTTGGGGAATTTGCCAAAGGTGGAAGAAATTGTGGTAATGTTTCTTCAAGAACAGAGAATTTCTCTAAACAGAACAAGGAGACACAGACAAATCTCTAATACACGTAAAATCTCTAAACAGGATAAGGATAAGATGCGTTGACAGATAGCCGATGGGCGTGATGCCGCATCTATGCAGATCTCCGATTTCATCCACTTAAAGAAACTGAAAATCTAGGAGAAAAATTCCTGAACAGCTGTTCGTTCTTCCCCACATATTCTCAACGATAGCTTATTCATAACCAGCTATAAACAAACTACTACATTTGGAGCTTTGTCACACATTTGACGACTGACCCATGTTAACAGTTTTGGTTTGGTTTGGTTTATTAGATTACAGCAAAGCACTCGAGGGCTATCTGCTTTAAGGGAGGGATGCCTTCGTGGAGGACTTTTTAAAGGAAACTGGCTCGTATACACGTTACACATGGGAAAAACCACGAAAACACCCATGCAGCCAGCCCGTTCGCGTGATTCGAACCTCGGACCGAACTACCAGTGTTTAGCGATGTTACCGCTCGGCCACTGGCCCACGTTAACAGAAAAATACTCGATTAACAAACGGTAAAACCGCCAAAACTTTAAATGAAGTTATGGATGAATGCTAATAATGGTGATGCATATTGGTAGTAGTAATAAATGTTGAAAGCAGTGGTAATATTGGTGATTCTTTAATGTGTTAGATAATGTGAACCATGCAGTTTACAATTTTTTCGCAGTAGTGTTAGATAAGTTATTCATTAAATAACTTTCATTCCTAAATAAGTACAGTTTTAACACTACGATAAGTCTTAACACCAACTATTTTAACTATAGTATCAGTTTTATGTTTTAGATCTGCTACATACAAAGGCAGGGAGATCGCAGTGAAGATCATCACAAGAGATAAATTGTCAGTGGACTTCTCATCTCGATTTTTACCTCGAGAAATAAAAGCTCTTAGCCAAATCAAGCATAAGAATATAATACACATTTTTAAAATCTTCAATTACTCACGCAGAGTTTACATATTCATGGAACTTGTAGAAAGAGGAGACCTGCTTTCCTATATAAAGGTAAGATCTAATACAAAGAGAATTCAAGTCTAGAAAGACCATTCTGTTACATAAAACATTGCAGGAATAAAATTTAAATGCTGGGTATGGGTAATGCGTAAAGAAGCTCTACTTGTTGAGTGTTATGAGCCTCACAAGCGCCATTTTAAAATTTGCTCAGTATTTTTTAAATGAGAAAAGGGGATTGCAATGCAAAAACTAGAATTTTCTGAAATATTCAGTACTCAAACTAGGTTATCGCTACCTTCATTCATTGAGGAGATAATGATCTATCCATTTCCTGAAGTGTTTTTTTATTAATATCTTTGGTTTTTCCAAACCCCCAAACAGTCTTCATGGATTCAAAGTAAAGCAAACTGAAAAGTTATGATAGGCTTGGAGGGTTCCTATCAGAGAGATTATTAATATTCTTGGTCCCACAGTCAAAAGTCTAGAGAAATAGATCAGCTCATATTGAAAGGATACAGTGGGTTCATGCTGACCAGTCCAGTATTCAAGAAATCCAACTATTCACAGGCACCGATATCAAAATATTACCGAGGCATCATAGTCATAATGAAGTCAAGAAAAACATTCTCAGGTTAGATTAAGTTAATTAATAATGGAAACCAAACGAAAGTTATCTGCTTAAGGGGAGGAATATCTTCATGGAGGGCTTTCTAACAGAAACCGACTCGTATTCACTTTACATGGGGGAAAAATCCTTCATGCAGGAGCCCGTTAGCCTCAGTCATGTACCGGCCTCATTAGCCACTGAATACTGGTAGCGTGCATCTGAGCAAACTACCAGTATTGGGTTAAAATTACCAGCATTCAGTGCTTTTAAATTTGGATACTGGTGAAACTAAAATATGTTCTGACACTGGCTATTGATTAACTGAGTAAGGAAAAGTACGCAAGAGCTATCTAAGGAAAATCTAAGGGTTTAGGAAGAACTTTCTGAAACAGGCCTGTATAGCTTTTGGTTGGCCATTTTCAGTAAAATTAAAAATTAAGCATTAAAAAATGTAATTTCTAGGAATGAGGGGGAAGGGAGTTAATCAAGCGAACAATGTGGGAGGCTCGTTTTCCCACCGCAAGAAGGTTGCCATATGCCATAGGTCAACCAAATATGTGACAACTTTACAACACAGCCTTAAAATTTCTTCTGGAGTTAAAAAAAGCAATTAAGAAGAGGGGTGTCCTTAAAATGTAAAATTTTTAGTATTCCATATCAATTCTTAAATGCTCCGTCTAACTGTGAAGCAAGAATTTAGTAGCTACTTTCTAAAGGTGAAATTACAAAAAATAAAGCTATTATTTCTTTTGAAAAATAATCAGTTTAATAGTTTTGTTTTAATTATGGAGAAACACGAGTGAGCTATCTGCCTAAGGTTAGAGATGTCTCTTTATCAGGGAAACTGGATCATATCCATGTTAAACATAGAAAGAAACCGCAAAAAACGGCCATGCAGCCAGTAAAATTTTACTAATGCGTATAGTTAGACATTTACTATTCGTATAAATAAATGCACTTCTCTACCTTGTATTTATTCAATTAGGGCCTGACGAATGAAAATAAATTTCTTTGAAAAATTGTTTTATACTGCATTATACCACCTACCCAATTACACAAGTATCATTATCATTACAAGTATCATCTAAAATTATTTAAAGTACTCGCATATTTAAAAAAAAAAAATTGTGCAAGAGTGTTTGAAAAAGGAATTTACTTATACTAGATGAATATCTTGGGATAGTCCAATGTGATGTGTATCCAGTTCTTCAAAGCAAAACACTTCTTGGTCTTGTGAGAAAGAATGTAAAGAAGTTTATGTATTCCAAGTGGTAACCATCGCAAGACTCAGAATGCTGGTAATAAATCAGACAGTTGGTGTTGTTTCGCAATCAATTTTGACGCGTTAAGAATATTTTTAATTTACTGAATCTGTAAACTTCGTTTCTTCCAATTTATGAATAAGTCATAATTGATCAATAACATGTACCGTCACGTGAAGTTTCGACATAGTTCGTTGTAAAGACCACGAATTAGCTATTTTCCGAGACATAATTTTGTAGCATAATTCTGTTTGCAGAATTTAGCTATTTATATATTCATACTTATTTATAAGGCATATGCTTGCATTCATACTTATTTATATTACTTTATTTATATACTTTTATATCATTTGTTTTCATTTAACTTCATGCCATTCTTTTACATGTGTGATTCGTAGAAATCGTGATATTGATGTTTAGGCTCGTGTAATATCAAGCGTTTACAATTCATGTGCACTTTTAGATTTTCATCTGCATATTTTTGCCTATCAGTATACTGCAGAAATTTTCGTAATGCTTTTGTTCCGTATGCATTACAGGTTGGTTGGCAGTATTCTAAATCCGTAGCGCTTACGGATAGTCTAGTTCTTTCTGGCAGTTACGTACATAATTACATTTATTTATGACATTATTTTCCTCTAGAAGAAATAAAACACTCAATATTTTTTTTCTTAAATTTAACGCTATTTCAGTAAATAAATTTAAAAGCGCAGACGATCTGAAAATAATATACATAGATATTAAAAGTAAAAGTTTTGCGGAATAACAAATATCACAACAATATATTAAAAAAGCACGGGTAACTCTTGTTAAGAAACAAAACTCGTAAAAATGATTATTTATATGCTATCTGTGAATAGAAAGCAAGTTTTGGAGTTAATTTTTATTTAATTTCAATATAAAAACGTCAATCTATATAATAGCGAAATAATCTGCCCTCATAATTTAAATGTTTACTTCTTTTTTCAAAGACTCGAGGCAAGCTGCTGGAGAAAGAAGCTCGCCACTATTTCAGCCAAATGGTTAGTGCCTTAAAGTACTTGCACAGCATTGAAATAGCCCACAGGGACCTTAAATGCGAGAATATAATGATCAATAACCGGGATGAGATAAAGATAATCGATTTTGGATTTTGCCGATGCGCAGGTATTTTAATGTTATTGATTCAAATCTTTTTTTAAATGAGATCTGGTTTTAATTTTGCACTATATCATGCATCTTCTTTTCCCCTAGATATCTCGTATTCAAAAGTTTAATAATCAACATAATAATCTCCATATCTAGTTACCGAAAATAATTATCTGAACGTGAAGTTTAATAATTTGATTTTACATCAAATGTTTAAATAGACTTTCCGTAAAACACGCCTACACATACGAATTAATTCAAGGCAAAATGTAATCTAATTTTGATGGCGTAGCGAAAAGGGATCTAGAAAGATATAAATTTATCTCAGACAATGATTTACATGATTAATGATTTCGAGGTTTTAAAAAACAATCTTTTGAAATAAACATCAACTATTTTATTTGCAAAACAATAATTTGGATCCTTTTATTCCAAATGATTCAATGAATAACCAAGAATACTTCTTTAATTGCGATCGAAGCTGAATTTAACCTAAACTAGCTCATTCGGAATTCACAGCCCTAATCCTAATATGTGGAACAGCACTGGAAACAGTTTTTCGCAGGTCAATTTCTATGTTATTGAACTATAACATGCATATCTGTTTCAGTTCACATCAGCATCTTTATTGTTGTAAAATCTGAGGAAACCGTCTTACTTGAATTTTGTAATGAATATAACAAAACAAAAACAAAAGGATGAAGAACAATATAAAAAATCAAACTGGACAAAATGGTATTAGTTAATCTCAATATAAATGTGGAATGGGAATTTTAGAATAGGTCAAAATAATTTAGAAGACTTATCCAAGGTATACCCACAACGAGAAAAGACCACTACTTTTTCATAAATGAAAGGCACATGTAAAAGAGATACATACAAAATCTACTTTAAGACCTCAGTATTTACAAAAGGAAACAATGTCACCAAATCAAGTTTCAAAGGGTTTTAATAGAGGAAATTAGTTGAAGCAATTCAGCCGAGCATTACTGATAAGAATAATTCATTTATCTCTGTCCAAGTTTTCATTTTCATCTTCGCAGTTTCCGTAAAGTATATTAGATAAAAAATAAAGAAATGAATATCGTTTCGCAATTTTACTGGAAAGAGAAAATTTAAAAATTAAAAATCTGAAAGCTTTTAGATTTTCTATTACCCTTAAAGGGGACTTTTTTTAACGTTTTGTGTGTTACCTTTATTTATTAAATATCATGTCCTTCGCAATTAAACCATAAAATTCAATTCAACAGTATTACAAAATAATTTAAAAAGAGCATACTATCTTTAGAATTTTCGATACACAGTCTCGCGTGCTGAAGATTAAAATGTTTTTTTCTTTCCGTACAGTGTTGCCATTGCCCGCTTTGAAATCGCTGTGCATGTTAATCAAAAATTTGTGTAAGTTTTACAAAATATAAAATAGATAATAAAATAAATTCCAAATTTCAAATTAGGGCATGCAGATGCCGATATTCGGGTGAAGAATTACGTTATTCAAAATTTGATGGCTCTAGGTACAGTTGTTTTATCACAATGCGAGAAACATACATACATTTATGCAGATTCTTGAATCAACGCAAAATGCCAAAAATTAATAGCCCTTCTGAGCAAATTGTCCTTTGGGCTAAAAATGTATTGCAGGAATAATTGCAAGCGTAGGCTGATAGAGTGCGAGCTGAGAAAGCTGAGAGCGTAAGAAACTTTAACAAACCATTTTCGGCGACTTTTAAAATCTGAAACGTTTTAGTTTTTTTTTAATTTATTTTCTATTTTGTGCATATATATTTTTAATATATTTGCATATTACACATATTTTCTATTTTTGCATATACATACCAGAAACACACACATACATACATATATATATATATAATTGGAGCCAACTGACAATAGACCTACAGATTCATAAATTTTAATTAAACACATCTCCGCTTCAAAGGATACGCTTTGCGACATTTTTCATCATGCAACATTTTATATCACTCTTTCGCTAAACTATCCCCATTGCTGTAAACTAGTGCCCAATAATTGCTTAGGATTGAAGCACAGGTTATCCAGCTATAAATACGACTGAAGTTAGTACACATTACTTTTCACTCTCTTCGGGTAGCAAGTCTCTAAGGTAAACTACACCTGACAGTTACTTTAAATGGTTCTTTCACCTGGAGTTCGCAGCAAGGCACTAGGAGTCACTATACGATTATGCCCACTTTTTAAGATCAGCTTGTAGCTTTAAATCGGAAAAGTCAAGTCTACATGTCAGCCATTAAACCAATCTTCACATATGCATCGCTAACTTGGGTAAACGCCACTAAAAAATACATTCTGAAGCTGCAAAACAAGATCCTAAGGATAATAACAGGAGCCTTTTACTATGTAAGAACGAAAAGTATCCACGTAGATTGGAAAATTTAGCAGACTGCAGATTATCTTCATCTTCATCGAACTAATCAAAAGTTCTACGAAAATGCCTCACATAATAATTCTGCGGAACTTTCAAAAGTTCTTGCCTAAGAGATCTTAGAGGAAGATAAGAACATCAGGCCCTTCGTAGTATACTACTTAAAAAATGCAAACTAACAGTCGCAAGATATAACATGAGCCGGCAGCCATCAGCAACCAAATTTCATACTGCGCTTCGATGAACTGTTATATCTCAATGACCTCTGATTTTAGTAAAGTGCATTTAATTTCCTCATCAAATTGATAGGTCATTTGGATTTCTTTTACTGTGTCTTGAGCACGATTGATTGTGAATTTGAGATTTCAGCGAAATTATATATATTTTTGAATTATTTTGATTTATCGCTTTTTATTTATTTTAACTCTAAATATTTTACATAGTTTACTGAACGTACCTGTAAAATTACAGCTCTACTGACGTTTCGTGATCATAAAGAAGCTCTGGATTTGACACGGACTTCGATAGTTAGTTTTCTGTTCTCTCACTCGGCAGTAAGACCTCACAGGCAATGTGCCTCGCGTATCAAGCCATTTGCTCTCATCTTTTATGGCGATACAGTTGTAACTTTAACAGGGAGGCCTCTAGTGTAATTCATCGATTGATCTTTTAAGAGCAGGGTAATTTCCTGCTATACACCAGAATAAGACACCAAAGCATCAAAGCATGTTACTTTTCCTCGCCCACTGCTGTTTGAACAAACCACGCCTCTCGCTTCGTTTCTTTTTGCGCTGTCTAAAAAAATGCGAATGCGTATTTAAAACTTTTTGAGAGCACACTGCCCATATTATGATGTGGTACTCAGGTAATAAAGCTTCAAGTAATAAAGATACTAGGCTTCAAGTAATAAAGATACTAGGCTTCAAGTAATAAAGATACTAGGCTTCAAGTAATAAAGATACTAGGCTTCAAGTAATAAAGATACTAGGCTTCAAGTAATAAAGATACTAGGCTTCAAGTAATAAAGATACTAGGCTTCAAGTAATAAAGATACTAGGCTTCAAGTAATAAAGATACTAGGCTTCAAGTAATAAAGATACTAGGCTGGATCCTAAAAAAGATTACAAGGGTAATAAAATATTATTTATTATCCATAGACATAAAATACAAAAGGTAATTAAGAGGCATACTTGTCTATTATTTCACTAAATCTCTTTAGGCATTTATCTGAACGCAGAACCAACTTATTTAAACCAGTTTTGTAGAAATCACGTCCTGGACCACTGACCCAGTTTTCGATGGCTGTTTGAAGGGATCATCATTGTTTGAAGGGAACCTCCTTCCAGATAAATGTTCTTTCAAAATCTGAAAAAGAAAATAGTAGTTATTGGGTGCTAAACCTGGGCTATATTGGGGAGAGAATTTAGACTTCCCACTTAAACTTGTATAGCAATTCTTGAGTCTGGTGAGCAGCATGGGGCCAGGCATTAGCATGCAGGAAGATGACACCATCAAACAACATACCAGGGCACTTGCGTCGGATGGTTTCATGTTATCTTGTCAAAGCATCACAATAACGATCGGCAGTAATGATATGGCTACGTTCCAGATGCGTGATCAGGATAACAAATCACTGCTAACACCTCCTAAAGAGACTACCTTTCTAAACGTCTTGCCATTTCAATCGTGTCTGACGCGTCTGACATCAGCGCTCTGACGCGTCTGCTAGACAACCTAGTACCATCTGTCTACATTTGGGGATAAAGTATTCCCTGCATAATAATTACTTTTGAAATATTGATGTTTGTAACCTTTTTTTTTTTTTTTTTTTTTTTTTTTTTGGATCCACTTAAGTATGTTGTTCTTATCCAAAGAAAGATTCTATGGTTTTTCTAAGAGTTCACGGCATCTATTACCACTTCGACCATGACTGAAAAGTGAAACTAACCGGTACTGTGAATCTCTAAACTACAACATCGCATATTTAGTATATATAAACAGAGAAAAAGACATAAATAGCTAGTTAGATACAGCTATAGATATATAAATATATGGTAATTATGGATTTATCTCGCAGATAATGAGTTATTTTTGTTCAGTTAGAGAAACGAATAACACAGTGTTACCCCATTTTGTGGAGTAAGGGCAATTGCTATTCATTGAATAAGTGGATAAATGCTCCATTTCACAATTATTTAAAATAGAAAAAACACCTTTTCATTCATATTGCAGCAAGAATCACTATAAACAAGATTCGATTTATCTTTATTCATTCATTCAGTTTAAAAAAAAAAAAAAAAAAAAAAAAAAAAAAAAAAAAAAAAAAAAAAAAAAAAAAAAAAAAAAAAAAAAAAAAAAAAAAAAAAAAAAAAAAAAAAAAAAAAAAAAAAAAAAAAAAAAAAAAAAAGATCTTACACACTTTCCAAATTTTACTACTTTTGAAAATCCAAGGTAAAATAAACAACGATATATATTTGTTAGGTATATATATATAATATACAGGGTGCTTACGAAAGTCTGGTACCACCCGTTTAACTGCCGAACGGCTGCAGCTACAGTCATAAAAATGGTGTCTAGGTATAATAAAGTAGCTATGCGCTATTAAATGGGACCGCTTACAGCGCCACCTGGTGGAAAACGGTGGAGTTAACATTCCTATCTCAAAAAAGAAACGAGATGGGTTAGAAAAAGTGAATTACGAAGTTGTAGAGCATTATCGATTTAGTAGGAAAAGACACCTTGTAGATATAAATGTTAAGAATGGAATGTTTTAAACGCGCATTTGTTTGCTCGTGATTTCCTACGCCGTGACACGACGAAACGATCTTAGAAAGAAACAAAAAACAACTAATTATCGCATGATACTTTTATTTCCGACATTCAAATATCTCCCCGCTTGCTGAAATGCACATTTGGACCCTTGTTAAAACTTCACGTTGCAGACGTTATAGCGCAGCGGGTGACACGTTTGCACAAGCATCTGCAATACGTCATTGAAGGTCCTGCCCTGTTTGCGGAGAGGTTGCAATCATCCGCTGTTTGAGGTATCCCCACAGGAAAAAAAACCATTGCAATCAGGTTAGGTGAACATGGAGGCTAGTCTTCGAAACCATCATAGCCGATTATTTTTCTTCGGAATTCCTCCATCAGGTACTGCTTCGTGGGTGATGCTTTATGCATAGACGCATCATCATGTTGAAACTATCCCTTCCGAAGTTGAAGTACCGGCAGGATCTCGACAAAATCTGATACTACATCTCTTAGAAATTGTAAATATCGTGAGGCTATTAACATATCCTGGTAAACTAATGGGCCTATTAACCTGTTATTATAAACTGCACACTAACTATTAATCGAAAACCGTACTTGATACCGAAAACGGCAAAACGTGATGGATTTTCCAGTGCCCAGTAATGTATGTTCTGGCTCTTGCACACTTTATTTCTAGAAAAGCATGCATCGTCCGTCCACAATATATCTGCCAAGAAGGCTGACTGGACCTCTTCTGCACCATGGCGAAGTTGCACCATGCGAAACGTCTCTCAGCATCTCCGACCAGTATAATTAGGTGCTGGCCGGTATGGATGAGCACCTAATTCGTTTGAGATTTTACAAACCCGAATTTTTGAGAGGCCACAGTTTCATCTCTTTTGTGTTGCTGTTTGGCTATGTGAGGGCGTATGATAATACATCTTCCGGTTGTACCTTCCGCCCTACCTTAGCTGGTCTGCCGGATGGAAGTTGGCTAGTCTCGTAGTCTATCTCCCTTAAACGTTTCACAACCTGTAGGATGATTTTGCGTGAAGGATGCGGGGCTGCAGGAAAAAATTGTCGATAATCATGCTTTGCGCCCAGTTTCACCGTAAAGTAGAACTTATCACAATTATCTTTTTTTTTTTTTTTTTTTTTTTTTTTTTCGAAAATCGCTCCATGACCCTGAGTTTCGACATACAACACCGAGGAAACCTGTCTTTTATAGCTGTCTCAAATGAACAGGTGACTTTTCATACTATTTGCATAATGCACAAATGTCGCACACCAGGCCCAAGTTCCATTGAGTTGAACATTTTGCAACATGATTGTGCACAATCTGCATGATGCCTATTCTGTTTGTAAAGACAATCAGTACAAAGACGCATCCCACGGGGGTTAACCCTCTGAGCGTTACGGGTTTAGCACTGAAATTTCAAAGTTCTTCAAAATGTCATGAATAAGTGGTATTTTCTTGACTTTAATTAAAAGACTACTCTCTCACTTTGTACCTTGATTCCTTTTCTTTCAATATACATCCAAACCGAAATTGGATACATTAAAATCTAGCAAAAATTTTCATGTGTAATGAATAAAGAAGCCAGCCTTCTATACGGAATTTTCCGGCCACGGCATAGTGGTAACGCTGTGAATTACAACTGATAATACTATGCCGAGACGCGGGCTTGTTTTGCGTCCGAAATATAATCTTTTCTCTTTTCGTTCAAGTTTCGTGACATCAAAGTTTTGGATATCGCAAAGAAACAAAAGTGCATTTTCAGCGTTTGTTTTTAGCCACACACAAGTCCACAAGTTATCTCTTTATACTAAATCGATGATGCTCTACATCGATGATGCTCTTGTAATTCACATTTTGCTCCTATCTCGTACCGTTTTCGAGATAGGAATGCTAGCTCCGCCGTTTTTCACCAGGTGGCGCTGTAAGTGGTCTCATCTAGCAGCGCATAGCCATTTTATTATACCTAGACAGCACTTTTACGACTATTTGCTGCAGCCATTCGGCTGTTAAAAAGGCATGTTGCACATATGCCTCTCTCTGTATATTATATATACAGAGAGAGACATATGTGCATGCATTGATGCGAAACGGTATTCTAACTATAGATGTATATATTTCCAGTGAATGATAAAGGGCGCAGAGAACTGAGTCAAACGTATTGCGGGAGTACTGCTTATGCTGCACCCGAGGTATTGCAAGGCACACCTTACAATCCTATGATGTATGATGTATGGAGTCTGGGATGTGTTCTGTTTATCATGGTCACTGGCACAATGCCATTTGACGACAGCAACGTAAGAAAGATGGTGTCTTATCAACTCAGAAGACATATTAAGTATCCTACGAGTTCTAATGTTAACCAATGTATTAAGGTAAGGAAAGTATGTTGATGCTATTTTAAATTAAAGTAAATCTTTTAAAATATTTGTTTAGAAGTTGTATTTATAATTCTGTGTAATGTTATTGGAAAATGTTTTATTTATAGTGTCCTTTTCCTCTCAAATGACTTGACAAAAAATGTTGCATTTTGTAACTTGTTAACGAATCTATTGCAGGAAGTCTTTGCATACTGAAAATATTAAAAAAAATATCGCCATATTAACCCCTTTCGACGCCACACCGATGCAGTATTTCAACTTGAATGATTCGTTTATGGGGAACTTGGTTGTTTTAAATGATCCGAGGTGTTTAAAATTTAGCCACCTTCACTTCACCATCACCTGCAAACTCAAGAAAATAAAGCACGCTGCCTCAGATTATTTATAGACTCAAGTCATTAATTTTCCTGAATGCAATAAATTCTTCAGAGACGCGAAAACCCATACGAAATCTGATGCCAATCAGCCGAAGTTTACTGGTACAAGGAAAGAAGAAAGATATGTTTCCCTAGCTCAATATTTTTCAGAATTACCTGAAATGTTAATAGACTGAAATAAAAAATCTTCGTTGGTTATTGAAGATATGACTATAAACAAAGGTATTTTTTCTCTGCTTCCTGTCGAGAAAAGTAAAATATTTCCTTAAATCATACATATGATCTTATTAGTAGTTCGACCTGGCTTATAATTCCGATGAAAGCTGTGAGATACATGGAGTTTTCTTCGTTTACTCATGTATAATGAGTCGCCCTTAAAAGATCCTATACGAAGACATACCTCCTCTGGGAGGCAAAGAGTTATTTTCCCTACAGCTCTTCTTACTAGTAGTTCGACCTAGATGCAAATTCTGACGAAAGCCCTGAGATGCACGGGGGCTTTGCGGTTTTACCTATGTATAATGAGCCTCTTTTAACAAATAATCTACAAAGGCATACCTCCCATGAGGCATATAGCCTCCTGCACTTTGCCGTAACTCAAATTACCGAAATAGTAATCTTACAAGTGTCCGAATAATGCAAAATAATAAATTAGTCTTTAGGAAAACTAAAACTTGCTTTGAAATAGGTTGAACTAATAGAAAAATACTAAACTTATTTTTAGAAAAAACTGAAATGCTTTCTTTAAGGTTTTTCTCCGAAGATGTACTTAAGAGAATTTAGTATTTTATTAAGAAATCATCCACCTAACCCTTGTTTGTTCCAAGACAATATTTGATAATGGTGGTGGTTTGCTTCTTTCCTTGCCTGAGATGTAGCAAATAATTTTCAAGAGCTTTATTTGTATTGGTCGTTCTTTGATTCACTTCAAAATTTTCCTCTACTTGTAATAGTGATTTTCTTTTCTTGGTCTTTTGATATCATGTGATTTCGCTAAATCACAGTTAGCGAAATACAAACGTAAAGTTTAGATCGATTTTTATTACTCATGTTGTGCTTTGATGAAAATCACGGGTTTTTCGTGTATTTTGTCGTTTTTGGATTGTACATAATATTATATAAAGCAGGCACAATTATGTTTCCTGCTGTGTTTTGAGGATCACATTAAAATTTGATGAATCATTTACTGTACACTTTCTACTGTATCTTTAATTTCAATATAATGCATTTCCAACTTTATTACTTTCTACCTTACTCTGGCAGTTTTTATAGTTTTATGATTATTACAAGCCTAGATTTGTAATTATTACCTATAATTCCGAATCTCCCTTTATGAAAACTAAATTAATTGCATAAGAATTAAAACTTCGCACTTTGTCATTCAGGATTCACAGAAATACTTGCAGTGATAGCAACTATCAGTGATTATTTGTTGTATTAATCAACTCATGTGTACTATATATATTAACTGCTTGTTTAAGTGACTAATGCACCTTTCATCCTTGTAATGCAACTGGGTTCACACACTAGCTTTTCGAAATTCATCGCGTTTATGTTATTTAACCATTTAACCTGTCAATATAGTAGCTATGAGCTCTTGCCTTTTCTTATCGTAATAAATGCGTTATTTTGTACGTGCATGTGGATCTCTCTTCTTATGGATTACTATCAAATGGTAAGAGCTTTGCATGTAATTTTGTTCTCAACGACTGACATCCTGATACATGTAGCTTACTTCATTATATTGGTGGTATTCGTTACTATTCTAACTTTTTCTAGTACAGTGGAACCTCAGATCACGAATGCCTCTCTCTTCATGAACAAATTATCTGCATAAAACATACTGGAACAATAACAGAAGCAGTGTTACAAAAGAAAATTATTAGAGGAAGAGGAAGAAAGAAATATTATTAGAGGAAGAGGAAGGAAGAGAAGATCAACCTATTTCTGTGATCTACAAAATTTATGCAAAATGGGGTAATATACAATGCTTCTTATAAGGATATCACCCTTATAAAACAGAAGTAGGATACAGCAAAGCATTTTCAATGGAAATTTCATGTCTTCTTTAAGAAATATATTAAAATGTAGACAACAACAAATCACACTAGATAAACTCTGATTGAAACGGAGGCCTAGTGATCTTGAAGGTAGAGTCAAATGGCACTATAAATATAAGATAAAAGAAGCTGCTTTAGAAAAAAGGTACCTGATGCTTTTATGAAAGAGAATTTCCCATCCAAACTGTAAAGTCTCTTCCTTTTACCTTCGTCATCACTTTCCATTTATGCCATCCATTAGGGGGAGTACGGTAAAATTAAATCAAATTTTCGTCTATTTTATCTCCTTAATATTGTTTTTACATTTGTTTCTTTAGATTATATTGTTGCCGTTTGCTTTGTATCATGAACTTGCTCACAAGTGTACAAAGTATTGTTGTAAATTTTAAATAAGCAATCATCTGGGGTCCAGGAGAGGATTATTATTTTTCATTTCTTCTTATGGAGAAAACAGTTTCGGTTTACGAATATTTCGGATTACGAATGGTCTTCAGGGAACGAATTAAGGTCATGAACTGAGGTTTCATTGCATTTAAAAAGTTTTAATCTAATTCTCTGTTTCCCTCTCTTTAAGACTTTATACTGTAGTCAATTAAATAAACTATTTTCATTAGCCTCATTTAAGAAGCTGGACAGAGTTTTCCATCGTCGGTGATTTATCGCCCAGACTTGATTTTAAATTTATTTAACACCGCAGCTTATAGATAATAACCAATATTGCATAACAATTTAAAAGTTCTGATCTTCGCAGGCACAAATTGCTTAATTCAGTTTTAACTGCTATTAATGTGCCCAGACTTGAATCAAATCGGCTGACTGAACTTAAACAAAAAGTTGTTATCATGTCTTGGTGTTACTAATAAAAAGATTAACATGTTTACAGCCGAAGTTTAACTTCACTATATAATAAATTCACTATATAATATAAGAAATTCACTATATAATAAGTGAAACTTATGGTGCAAACTCGGATCTTCAAAGTTCTGAAGAGTTCGAAACATCTTACACTGAGCTTCTCTTTCTTAGAAAATCACTAATTTGTATTTTTCCACTGAGTTGGAAAAGAGCAAAAGATACGGCAAATTTCAGCAAGATTTGTTAGTTTGAATCTTGCTAGTTAGTTTGAATTTGTACTTTTTTCTTGATACGAAAGAGAATTTTTTCTTGATCAATCCCTATCCCTGGTATTTACGTATTACCGCAACCACCTTGAAGGTTATTATCGATTTTTTATGGAAGAAAGGATATGTTGATTTACAACCGCAAAGAATTATTTATTACATACATACACATCATTACATATATATTTTAAGTTTCAGTGGATATCAAATCTCCAAATCAATCAATAAACCTGCTTACAAACGCTTTTTTGTTTTGTTTTGTTTCAGTCAAACTTTCGCGGTGACATCTTTAAGAATAGATTTAAAGCAATTAATTTCATTTAACGATTCTGCCACAAAATACTGAATTCATGCAGAAATTTTACTGAAGTTTCTCTCATTATGGGCAGATCCCCAAATGCATGCTTTAAAATCGTGTTTAAGGCAAAAAAATTCAAAAATCTCTGGAAACTGGACTATGGCAAAAAGAACACCTATAAGAATGATGACGTTGTATGACAAAACTGGAGAATTGTTATGAGCAGGGTTGACAGAATTTAGCTCATTCTTAAAATATGGGGTCTTCTACTAAGGTGGTTGCGCTAATACGTAAATATCCAATTCCTATACATAATGTTCAACAGTAATCCACAGAAATGGGATTAGAGAAGCACTGCTAATATTTTAATGACAATCAAGCCTAACTCTTTTCCCTTACACCGTATTCTACGAAAGCATCCCTCCCCTTAAGTCGATCACCTTTGATGTCTTTGAAAGAATCAAAATAACCCACTCTATTCTATGTTCTTAATATACTATATTTGAAATTTATCAATATGGCACTCGTATCTTAAGAATTGAAAGAGTAAAAAGCACAATTAAAATTTTAATTGTTTAATTGAATCTGATATGAAACATTAATAAATAATTATATTATTTCGCAATCTTTATGAAACAGTGCGAAAATATTCATACACATTTAATTGCATTAGAATCTCCTGTTCAGTCAAAACCCTGAGAACAGGAAAGATGGCTTGCAGATAAAAGAAAAATATATTTAAAAAAAATACTCCAAGAAGAAAGTGATATTACGCTTTAAAGTCATGCAAAAGTTATTTCCTGTTTGCTTTTACATTTAGCTGTGAATTAATAAGATTAAAATCTCTGTATTTGGCCCAGAAATATTTGGGCTTTCTCGATTTCACACAATAGAACCTCTATAGTGCCCGAATTCTGATTAATTTGAGATACCGCAATATATCTGAGGCAAATCGTCAAAGACAACGTGCTACTTTCCTAATGACTTATAAAAGCTTTGTTTGGATTACCGTGTTCATCACGCAAGATTTTCGAGCAGGTAATCTAAATACCATCAAATTAATATTTTTCACATTCAGCTGCAGGAAGGCAGCACTGCTACTGTTATACAATGAAACTGAGGAGGAAAGAAACGAAAA